ACAAATCATATTTTGAAGTCAAAACCTTTCTCCTAGTGGTATTAGAATCATTTGATGAAAGCATCAGGTGATATGATGATATAGTAAGGTCACTATAATATTAAAAGCATAATATGCTAATTAGGTCAGATAGCCAAGCATCCTTCCAGACGTCCTTCTGGACAAAGCTGAGGCAGCTGTGAGGACCAAGGGCAGGTAGCCACTACAGCCAGCAATGGCAGCAGCAGTGGCGGGGTGACGGTGGCAGTGCCTTCCTCTGACTGGCCCTGTTGCCTCCTGCAGAGGGAGGCCAGACTGTGGCAGGGAGCAGGCCTAAGCCATCACTAGGACATCCCCTGAGGGCTCCTGGATTCCGAGAGAGGGCAGGCCCGACTTGAGGGACCCCCCCCCCACTCCCAGGGTACATGAATTTTTGTGCACTGGGCTTCTAGTGTTAATATAATGTGAATGTTATCATTGTGGTAATTTATTAGTTGTGCTATATTTTCATAATTTTTTAAAATATGTATTTTATTTATTTTTTTACGGAGAGGAAGAGAGAGGGATAGAGAGTTAGAAACATAAATGAGAGAGAATCATCGATCAGCTGCCTCTTGCCTTCAATCAAGGTACATGCCCTTGACAGGAATCGAACCTGGGACCTTTCAGCCTCCAGGCTGACACTCTATCCACTGAGCCAAACCAGTTTCGGCTATTTTCATAATTTTTTACCTGCAACATTTTTCACTAAAATTTGATTGAAATGGGAGGAATGAGAGTAAAAATGATCTCAGGTATTCATCACCTTTTTAATCACACCAGTGAAAGGACTTTTAGGGGTAAAATTAGCAGGTTTAGGGAGATTTAAGGATAAACAGGGTCCATGGATGAGGAAGACTTGGCGCCCATAGGAGAGGTTTGGATCTGCCAAGAGGCATACATTCAGAGAGAAGCAAAAAGGGTGCCACGGGATAAGGGAAAATGGGGATAAGCCACAGGGTATGGGGAGAAAGGGGAAACAAACTTTCACAGAGGATAGAGAAACGCCAACCCAACGAATGGGAAAAAGAGGAAAATAGATTTTCACAGGAGATAGAGAATTCTACCACAGAAGGGGGATAAAGAGAAGGGGGAAGCATGTGGGGTTTGACCTTTGAAGCTGATATAGTAACCAATCAGAAGGGAATAGCAAGAAACAAAGAACCGCAGCCTATATAAACCTGAGAAAAAAGGAGCTTAGTGGGTCACCCCTTTGGGACCCCCTTTCTACGTGGGAGTCTGTACTTGCTTCCAATAAATTTCCACCCTTTTCATCTGCTACCTTTTGTCCATGGTTTCATTCTTCCAATCCACCTGGACAAGAACCCGGGAAAGGAACCACCGTGCATCCTGCTCAGGAAAAATGATTGGAGTCATCAGTGACTTTTATTTATTTTAATGACACTTACCAACACTTATTGAAGTTCCATGTTTCAAAGTGAATTGCACAGCATTCAGCAGCAAAGTTGATTGGAACCCAAACCTTTCTGCTCAAAGTAAGGGTTTAGGGCTGACAACGATTTTCAAGTAATTTGACTCACGTTTACAGAACAGCTTTCCTTCTCTTGATTTCTAGATGATAGCTAAGTCACTTAGCTCACTTTGAGGAGGGCTAAAATGACTCAGCCTCAGATGTTTTCTTGAATATCTCAAAGAATTGGAGATCTGTTGGGACAAAAGTTTTCTACCCCAAGGCCAGTGGTCCTCAAACAGCATTTGGGGCCTGTCTGTTAGCTTGATTAAAGATGTAAATAGAGACCTTCTGTACTTATTGAGTCAGAATCTCTGGTGTGAGGTCCAAAAAACTTTGTTTGAACAAGCCTCCCCAGATAATGTTTATGCATGTTGAAGTTTGAGAAACACTGCCCAAGACCAAGGAGGTGTAAAGGAGACAGACAAAAAACAGGTTGATAGTATCTAGATGGTCTATAACAGAGTTAGGCAAACTGTGGCTTGCAAGCTTTGCGAGCTGTGGCTTGCTGCTCTGTTGACTAATGAGTTTGCCGACCACTGGCCTAGAAAAGTGAAGTGTACATTGGTACCTTCCACAATCTTCAGCTAAGCAGCAAACATTCATTTGCTCCATATCCTCTAGTACTGAGAGTTCTCTACCATCGTAGCAATAGTTTAAAGGGAGACATAGCCAAAACCGGTTTGGCTCAGTGGATAGAGCATCTGTCTGTGGACTGAAAGGTTCCAGGTTCAATTCCAGTCAAGGGCATGTATATTGGTTGCAGGTACATCCCCAGTAGGGGGTGTGCAAGAGGCAGCTGGTCGATGTTTCTCTCTCATCGATGTTTCTAGCTCTCCCTCTCCCTTCCTCTCTGTAAAAAAAAATCAATAAAATATATTTTAAAAAATAAATAAAGGGATATAAAATGTGCATATGGGTGAGGTCAGGAATGGGAACAAGAGACAAAAAAACAATGTCTTATGAATGTGTTGGGGCAAATATAGTATGAGCTAATTACTTAATTCTTGCATAATTTCCAAATACTATAATTTCATAGCATTAACTTGAAAATACCATGATAGAAGGATTAATTTAAAACTTTTGTAAAATATTAATATGGTAAGACAAATATGAGTGTGTGTTTTAACTTGTTTTGAGAATATTGGCTAAAATAGCAAGCGTTTTGATTAATATATGTAACATTTTTCATTATGTCCGAATGGTAAGGAATATTTATTTTTCTTTGTGCCGAAACTAATAAGTCAATGTTTAACAAGAGGAAGCAGTTTGTTTGTGTGTTAAACAAGGCAAAGCACACAACAGGAACATAGAGAGCAAAGATAGACATTGCAGCAACCTTTAAGCACTCCTACAAGAGGCTTAGCAAATTATAAATCACAGCTGTCTAGTCCAAAAGTATTCCTTTGCTTCTTTCTAAATTTCAGAATTATGAATTATCCAAAAATCAAGGTTTCCTTGTGCTTTTACACTTAATATGTAGCCTCATATTACTTACTAATTTCGCAAATTCACTTCTTCCGAGTTAACATCTAAAACAGTACTCTTGGAACTAAAGATTATATTTGTGGTCTTTTGTGGTTTATCTTTAAAAGAACTATTGAATTTGTCCTGTTTCTGATTTAAAGTACAAAGTTCCTGGGCACCACTTTTTGGATACAATGTAAACTACATTCCTAGTTGTCAGATTCCATGTCTCTAAAATGTGGTGGAGTCAGAGGACCTGCTAATATAAACAATATGTTTAGGTTTTGATTTTTATTTTAAAGCATAGCATTGCAAATAAGTGAATTCCACGAAACTTTTTGGTAAAACAAAAACATCAGTGGAGATAGCAAATGGAGAAAAGGTTAAACTGTATTTCCTTTCCTTGTAAATATTTGAAAGCAGTTAATTTTATGTTCGGAATATTGCCCTATATCCACAATAAAAACATGTCAGGATTTTATGGGAATTCTTTAGAGTTAAATATACAGGCTGTGTTCCTGGCCCGAGGGGCCCAGAATTCCAAACACTAAGGTTGCTAGACGTTTTTACCTTCAGCTTGGGGCTTAAGAAAAGGAAATGCTCAAGTCCCCAGAAGTGACTAAGAAAAATGGAGATTTCCTTTAACAAGATGACTCCGTGAAAGGCAACACACACACGCACCTGCATTCATGTGCACGTGCTCGCACATGCCTCGCACGTAAAAATCCTCGGTCCCTAATATGTGTTTTAGGTTTTCGTAAATATTGAAATGAAACTACTTCTCTGTAAGCAGAAATGTATCACTATTATTTCAAGTTAAAAATGTCAATATATTTAAAAACAAAATCATAAAGAGGATGTGACTATCATGACAGCCTGAGGCACTTCTGAATCCTAGGTGTCACTCACAATCATGGTGAAAACGTGGTCTACACCCCTCCCCGGCATTTATCCTATGCAAATGACTGCAGATTGAAACACTCATCAATAGGTGCTATAGTCTGCAAATAGTTTCCTTGTTGGCTTGGCAACTGTGACTCATGCTGTCCGACAAGTGAAAAGAAAACCGCAGTCAGCAGCTATTCAGCAGCAAATCATTAATTAATTACATTTTAATGAACCTTAAGCGGCTACTGCGGGAGCCTTCAGAAGTTTATCAAAAATGAAGAATTGCCTTGTGTAAATCTTAAGCTGACTGAAAAAAATTCCGAGGGCCGGAGGGTAACAGTTCTATGTAATTTCCATATATCTACTAAAACTTTATAGCTTTTGGTAATGTGAGTGTGCTAGCATTTTATTCTAGGAAGAATCCATCCTTGTAATCTTAACACCTGTCTGTCATCTTTCTTCTTTTTCTCCTTTTGAATTTAAGAAATGTAGCAACACATCTTTAAAGAATCATTACTGGAAGACTGAAAAGGGCTTTAATCTTGGTATAGCTGTCTTATCGGTTAGTAGGTAATTCTAGAAAAGGCTCTCTCTAAAATATGCATGTTTTTCTTCCATAGTAATGAGCTTTTGCTCTACAAGGGATGCTTGACTATTGTTGCTACTTCACTCAATAGGTTGTGGTTAGCCATCAGTAGATCAGTTTCTAAACAAAGAAAATATTTATGGAGGCCTCTCCATTTGGAGGCTGGCCTTCAGTTATTTCGCCACCTCGTTTCACAATGCAGGGCTGCTTCACGTGGGGGACAATGGCATCTTCACACGAAGGCAGGCGCCTGACAGCAGCCCCAGGCCTCAGGATTCAGTCCCTTGTGAGTTGAGTACATCTCAGCTTCTAAACCAGTGGCAGCTTTGCCAAGGGTCCTACCTTTTCTTTTGGGAACACACGGCAAATCAAACGGCAAGGCTCACACTGAAGCACCAAATCAAAGCTGGACTCAGTCAACAGTGCCAGTTTTCCAGCCAGTATCCTAGAGAACCCTCTGGCTTTTACACTCCTAAACAAAGGTTTTGCTTTTCATGTCACACGCTATCTATCGCTAAGGGTTGGAGAAAAACAAGAGAATGTGGTTCATGATAAAAATAAAATGCAATATTTTTTTTTAACTCAGAATTTTTTTTATTTGAGGTATGCTTGTTCTTTTCTTATTCCATGATAGTAGCATAGCCATATACAACAAATTTTACAATAGAGAAAACTTTTCATAAAAATATCTGCCTTGAACCACATTTTTTAATTCTTCAATGGTTACTACTGAAACTAGTTATTCTATATGAAAACTTAATTTCCCTGTGGTAGCAAGTATTTATGAAAAGGAATATTCAGTAGGGACAGTTAGTTACAATACTGAGCACTGATTTTTTTTTTTTAATATATTACAGTGCCAACACCCAAGAAAATGAGATGCAATGGATTACAATTGAAACTGTAACAATGAGGACAAAAAGCATTTTCAGATCTCCAAGTTAATTGTACAGCAGCTTCCTACACACTTATGATCAACCATATAATGATGCCATCAAAAAAAAAAAAAAATCTAAGCAGAAATGTCTCATTTACATTAATAATGTTCACAAATTATATGAATTCATTTTGCAAGTGATGGATAATTTAAGCTTTCATCATCTAAAGCTTGTCATTTTTTTTTCTAAGAGAAATGGATTGTTTCATTTTTAATGAGTGCAATAATAACACATTTAGTTTCAGCAGATGCAAAATAATGAACACAAAAAATGATTTGGAATTTGCAGAACAAATAAGCAAACAGTACTAGAATAACCCGAAGAAACGTGTACTATATAGGGCTTTTCTGCTAGCAAGGGGTCAGAATCTGGTCAAATCTAGCGTATTGTTTCAATTTAAGCAAATAAAATCAATATGGTTAGGGAAGCAAAGTGCACAGAAATTTTAATTAGTTAGGTTTCTTTTCTTTCTTTTTAAAAAAAATTCTGTCTCAGACAAGTACTGTTAGCTGACAAGAAATATGGCATTTCTCACCTAATGCAGTAAACAAACAAAACAAAACCAAAACCCTCTCTTAATCACTACTAGACGGCCTCTAGACAATCCACTCTTGTAAGAAACTGTAAATGAAAGGCTTGGATGCCACTTTGTTAATGAATTTTAAAGAATAGATTGTCAGGCATACTGGGAATTTCAGATGTATTTCTGAATTCACATCTGTGGGAGTTGTGGATTGTCACAGTTCATTTACTTTTGTAAAATATCCACAATTTACTGACAAGCAACTTCAAAAGTCCATTCAGTGATTGGGTGGGTGGTGGACCCTTGAGTAAAACAGCATTTTAAAAAGTGAGTGTGTTTGCTACTGTAATATAGAGCCAGCGAAGAAAAAGAACGGATGCTAAAATAAATAGTAAAATATAAAACACTCCATACAAAGAAAATTGATGTGCCATTCATTGTACAATCACTTCAATAAACAAATACCTTATAAAGGGAAATCAGAAACAGAATGCTTTCAGGTACGTATGGAATTTGCAAGCACCCATGACTCTTTGTTGTTAATTCCTTTGGGAAGTGCCATGTTTAAATCTTTTGGTTTCTTTTCAGTGTTGTGTAGGTCCTTGCAACTGTGTAGGTTCCTTATTAATTTATACCAGGAGTTACAGCATTAAAATGAAGGCATTAAAAATCACTCAATACTGCAGTTAACAAATAATGAAGTACCACTATTCCTCTTACGTTTAGGAGCTGACGTTCTTGGTCAAAAGAATGTAAAAATGTTTTAGTTTGTTGGTTTTAAGAAGCCAAATTACCAGTGTAAAATATTTGAGAATGCTAACACAGTACTCAGAGATGGATACATTGGAATAAAACTGCATTTATGTATATTATGCCCCATACTGGACATTGATGAAGACCTACACAGTGCATAATTTCCTTTAAGTTTTTTTAAGCAATCTTGTGTTATGAGTACAATTAAAAGCCCATCAGTATCCCAAGTACTCCTGCATTATCTACCCTGCCACACTTTGCTAATGCGCCTTATCATTTAGGTTGCTAATACTGTTCAGTGTAAGGACAGTCTTTCTGAGGTAGACTGTTCAAGTTCAAGGACAAGTCTTTTTCTTACGAAATGCATGACATTCAAAAAAAGACAACAAATAAATACTACATGTACAATATGTAGCAATGAGGTAGAAATGGTTATAAAGAATAATGTTTGAATATACATCAGATGAAAAAAGAAAAAAAAAAGAAATGAATATTCTTTAGCAACTGTATAAAATCCACAAGAAAACATCACACACACACACACACACACACACACACATACATGAGTGAGAGAGGTGACTTAAGTTTTAAACCTCGAAATAAACTTTTGCTTTTTTTTTGTATCATAAAGCAACAAGAAAGAATAAATGTGCTCCCAACCTTGGTGTACTACAGAACCACTTTATAAATATTTAACATTCTATAGGACTGATTCATATATTCTCACACAACTCTGTGGCAAGGCTGACCCATGCTGCCGACATTCTACATATCACGGAGACAGGGAGGTGAGATTTTCCTGCTTTCAGTCTAATTGTCTTTGACAATTGCAGTGCCTAGTGCTACCCTGCTTGTGTAGTATTTAAAAACAAGGGAAAGAGGAGAGACTTGTTCATTAAAGATGCAGCATCCCTGGTTCACACAAATGCATCTGGCAGGTTCAAAATCGAATGTCAACCAGAGGTCTTAGCAGAGTGTGAGATTCAGTTCATGTGTTGGTTAGTCACAAGTGCAGCTGATTTTGAATTCTGAAATACTGATAGCTCCATGTTTGCTAATGTGCTTTCTAGGAAAACCGGCAGGTGACTCAACAACAAAAGCTTTACTTTCCAAAAGAAAAATAACATCTTAAAACACTATAAATCATAAAGTGGCCATGTATATCTCTGCGCACATGAAGAAGAGAGGAAGTAAACAGTTGCTTCTGAATAATGTAAAATAGATGTTAGTTTTAAAGTTCAGATAGTGGTGGAAACGGCACACATACATACACACACACACACACACACAAACACACCAATTTTATATGTATATATATATATGTATATATATATATTAGAACTTTACTCTAGTGGCCTCAAAAGTTCAACAAACTGTGTCCCTTTCACTTTGCAAAATACATTTTCACTGATCACAATACCCAATTCTTGTTAAGAAACACGAGAATGGGATTGTAAGTATTATCTTCCTTCTTGGAGTTAGATACATTTTCAGAGAAATTACAAATGCCTCTAAAACATGTTTTCCAACTCACAAATATGTTTACATTTACAAAGACCTCTTGTAGGAATTAATTTGGACTCTTGGATGTAGTGTTTCTGAAAACTGCATAGCCAAGTATTATACTATGCAACCAATGTGGATTGACCTTGCTATTTTACATAGCATAGCCTCTGGATAACTTTTATCACTTGCCCAGATTGCGTTTGGCCTATGCATTTTAGTGGAATGCTTTATTTTCTCCATGATAGGTTTCAAATGCACAAGAAAACATTATACCCGTCTATCTGCATTTGAGTAGAATACAAACTGACTAATAGATAAACATTCAGTGTGAAAGTAAATAGCCTTAAAGTATACTGCCTTCACATTCCATTGATCAGCTCAGTCAGCAAAGTTTTCCATATTGTCACTAAATGTTCTAAATATTTTGGTGAGAAGCATGCCAGAAGTGAGTGTAGAGTATTTCCATTTGTGTCACACATAAGGTTATTATGAACTACCTCTTGAATTTCTATTGATCCTTCTGAAGTGGTTTTCTTCACTTCCTTTTTGTCCCATTTGGAAATGTTATTGCAGTTGTGAAGAAGAGAATTAGGGGCTGTTAAGTGAAAGGGCTCAAATCTCTCAGCCAGAAGGGAAGGGCTTTAGACTGGCTCCATTAACTCCTTAGCTTCATTAGTAGCCTCCTCCAAATTCTTAGCAAATTCAAAAGGAGGCCAAGAGCATGGAGCCCATTACTCAGTTGTACTATCACTGATGGTGCACATTCACTACAGAGGCTGTGGCCCCCATCCCCCACGCCATGCTCCAGAAGGGAGAGTCGAAAAAGAGCTCATTATTAGGCCAGTCCATAGAGGAGCTCATAATGCTGTCACGGTGAATCAAAGAATCGCAGGAGAGCTCTATCTACTCAAGGGTCAGTCTTATCTCCCCCATCAGATCTTCATTTCTTCATCATGCCCAATTTCTTATGAAATCAAATCCTAGAATTCAGGAGGCTATGTGAAATTCGCACACGAATTCAGCTTCTGCCTAAATACATGGATTTTTTGACCACTGATATCTCAAAGCAATGACTAAGTCACTTAAAGCTAAAAGCCAGTATGTCTGACCTTATTTTCAGTTTTATAAATGAGTGTAAAACATAATAGTGCAGTCATATATTTGGCATTAACTCTTACTAGCCACACACGCACAAAAAAAAAAAATGGATCGATATTGTATTTTCCAAAGTTGTCTAAGTAAGACTGGATTTATCAAAACTTGCCAGCTGCTTTCAAGTAAACACAGCATGTTGGCGGAAATGAAATGTAGTGTCTAAAAGACAGAAAATAGGCCAGTACTGTACAAAAGTAAACTTGTCAGTGAGATCAATACAGACCTACAAGTTAATGGGGATATTAGAATTTCCTTACAATAAGGGGTGTGCAGGGTAGAGCCAGAATACGATTGTAGCATTTATTCCCTTGTGAAAAGCAGAGGATGTATTTTTGTATCCTTAATGAAAGGCACTGCTTTTTAATGTGGGATATTTATATGTAAGCACAGTTTTAATTCCTAGGATGTCACAGTAAATTAAATTCTGGTTCATTTGCTCAGTTTTTAGCAATATGAAAATAATAAAAACAAGGAGTAATGGATCAAACAGCATAAAATTTCAGAAATATCATGACGTTCTCATTAGCTTTTTCTCTATGTTGTGTTTCAGAGAATTTTACATTGGGGATGAAATCAGTAAAAATATTTGGAGGGGAAACAAAAACAAAAACAGAAAGAACTTTCTTGGGGCTTCCCATTGCATTTATTCAAAGTTTTTTTTTTTAAAAAATGTACATCACTTTTGGAATACATAAAATGCCAGTGCTTTGCAACAGGTTGGTTACTGCATCTCTTGACTTAAAAAATGAAATAAAAAAAAAATAAAAAGAAAGGAAAAATACATTCAAAAAGCCAGGCTGTCTGCTTATGCATGGGCAGTGGCTTCGGAAAGCTGCAGCCTACACTGTGTCTGTTGAGAGGCATTGCCAGGCATCAGTCAGCTCTCGTTGAGAAGTTGCACAGAAAGCATACAGGAATACAAAGAACAACTTGGTGGGGAGCAGGAGAGGAATCCGAAATGATGAAAAATGCTACATACGCACTTGGGGTGGGAGCTAGAGTCAGGTAGACGTAAGCAGGAAGACGGATGTATTTGGAAACTAGATTTATGGGAAAAGAAAACAAAGTGACACGTTTGGCAAGCTATAGAGTGCGTGTGTGTGTGCGCGTGCGCGCACGCCTGTGTGTGTGTCCACTTCCAATTTTCTACTTTAATTTCCAAGAGAAATGTAACAAAACTGAGGTAGAAATGAATGTGGGAGCACTACAGTCCAGAAGAGTTTAAAATGAGAAGCAAAATCGCACTGACAAGAAAGCAGTCAAAAAGGAGGAAAAGGGATGTAGACGCTCTTTGTGGATACATATATGTAGATATATGTATATATATATAAAAGTTGGTCGGTTGTGTTTTGCATTTATTTATTTTGTTATTTGTTTGATTTGGTTGCTATCTTCCGCATTCTGATAAATAGCATGGCAAGCCTATGAAGCTAGATTAGTGAAGAGAATGACACCATTCCCAGCAGTTTTGAGAGAGAACTTGCAAACCACCACCACTCCCACCTATGCAGTAAAATGCAGTCCTAGTCTGTAGGTACCATGACCCTCAGGGTCCTAAACAGGTTTTGTGGCTGACTGTCCTAGACACTAACACAAACTGAGTTAAGTAGCTTTCCATTAACCAGTGTACCTTTTTATGAACATTTTCACTTCATTATCAAGGAGCAATGTACAAAGAACTCTTGCAGTTACTGACATAAAGAATTACTCTGCTCTGGTTAATTCCCCATAATTAGTAAAAGAACCTTTTAAAAAAAAATCCTTCCATTTCTACTTTAAATTGTAAATATTCAGTTGTATCACACTTCATTGTTTTTCTGGATACATTCAAAGTAATTTTCCTTGCTATTTTCCAATCGTTGAGGTAAACATACATTTTAATATAAAGTAACATTGAAGCCCATCCCATTACTCTCAGCAGTACATAGTGCTTTCAACACATTCCTTTGAGGTACTGTACAAATCACAATCGCTTTCCTGAGTTTTTGCAGACAAGAACACTAAAAGAAATGAACTGCAGAAAATTAAGGTCCAGATTACCGTTACCCTGTTTTACCTGTTCTTAGCTTAACACAGCAGAACAGACAGGATTGAGGAATACTGTTGCTCTTAACATGGCAAAAAATCTGGGTTTTCTGTCATAACGCAACCGTTCATCTCTTTAGTCCACTAATGTTTGAAGTTAAAGCTCTTTATATTAGCACATGCCACCAATGTAATTGTGAGGCAAACAAAAAAATAAAGCACCACTCCAGGCACTTGACAGCAACTAAATCTCGAGAACAGCAGAATGGAATCAACACACGAGGTTCATGTCCTTCCGAAGTCAACACACTTGCACCTTGCTCCTTGGTGAGTGTCGTCTGGCTTGAGCCCAACGGAGCATCCATGGATGCTCTCTGTCATCTGGGGCTTTCAGATCAGATGCTCTCACTCGATGCATGTGTTTCCCCCCCTCCAAACCTACCCTGATGCTAACGATACAACTTCATCCACCTCTCCCCCAGTATCCTTTGCAATTGAAACACTACTGGAAAGGGGCGCTATGCCCTGTGTAGCAGGTTTTGTGTGTGTGTGTGTGCCAACATTCATTACACTTTTTTTTTTTTCTAAAAAAAAGAAGTTATCACTGACTGCAACCAAACATTTTGTTCCACTCAACATACATATCAAGCTCTTTTTGAGATATGCTAGGCTGAATCTTGCAGAACGCATTTTCAAAGTCTTGGTACGTGACGGGCCTCAGCTGGCTGGGCATGATGGCCGAGAGGTCTGTGGCCGGCATGGCGTGGAGGGGGCCCACCGCCGCTTCCTGACACAAATGAGCCACGTCGAGTCCAGAGAAGCCTTCTGTGCGCTGGACGAGCAGTGCAAACTCCTTCTCGTTGAGACAGTAATTGTGCTGTGAGAGCAGTTGTACTATTATCTGGTGCCTCGCTGTGCTGTCAGGAAGTGGGATTAAAAGTCGTTTCATGAAGTACCTCCGGAGAGATTCGTCTATTTCCTCGGGTTTACTGGTGGCACAAATGACTACGATTTGGTCCTCAGCCGAAGTGAGTACAGTGTCCAGCTGCATCAGAAACTCGGTTCTCATCCGACTGACGGGACTGTGCTCCTCGCCCACTTGAGAGGAGAGGAGCAGGTCGATGTCGCTGACAAAGATCACGGAGGGCTGGCGACACCTGGCCACGAGGAAAGAGGCGTGGATGATCTTCTCTGCCTCCCCCAGCCACTTGGCGACGAGTCCGGAGCCGGCGATTTTGAAGAACGTGGCCCCCAGCTGACTGGCTATGCACCTGCCCAGTAACGTCTTGCCTGTCCCCCGAGGCCCGAACAAAAGGATGCTCCGAGGTAAGGCCGTCAGCCCGCTGAACGCGTCGGATCGCAGCACCGGCCACAACACCTCCTCTTTAATGACAGCCTTCACCAGGTCCAGGCCGGCGATGTCACTCCAGTCCACGGGGGGTCCCTGGGCGATGATCTCGTTGGTGACCAGGTCCAGGAGGTGCGTGTCAGTGTTCTTCAGTTGCTCGTCCACGGAGTGGTTGGATGAGGTAGCTGCACGGAGCCCAGAGCCTGGCATGGGGTGCGAGAGGAGCTGCCTGTGCTCGTCCCCGTGCTCGCTCATGACCGGCGGCGTGTACTTCCCGAAGGGCTCGCTGGCCCTGGAGCCCAGCGCGGTTTTAGCAGAGCTGTAGGAGGGCGGGGTCAGCGCCCGGCCGGACTGGCTGCTGAATTTCCTCTGCTGCTCAGAGGACAAGAGCTGCTTCGTTGGCTTAAACGCTAAGGATGATGCTTCAGCACTTCTGTCAAAGCCATTCCCCCGGTTTGAGTTTGAAATGCTGTTGTCGGGCATTCTGTACATGGGGCTCTGCGTGGATCTCTGTTGGCCATAGCTGTAATTTCCATAACTGGAGTCCATGTCGCCCTGCCCCGCCATATAGAAAGCTTTCCTTTTGAGGGAGCTCGCCGAACTGTTTGCCAGGGCAGAGGGCGCGATGGGTGTCAAGCCGTGACCCTGGTAGGTGTAGCCCGGGACCGTGGTAGGGGGCAAGGGGGTGGGAGCCGGGATTCCTGAAGGCAGGTATGCTGAGGGAGGAGGGGGCGCCCCCCCGGGGCTATACCCAGACCCCACAGCAGTCTGGGGGGGATAGCTAGCAGAGGGGTAGCTGTAACTGGAGAGGTTGGAAGTCCCGTTGTAGCCTGGGACCAGGGCGGGTGGCGGGGGAGGAGGCGGCGGCGGCTGGAGGAGCCCAGAGCTATGCAGAGGAGACGGATGAGGCGAGGGAAGTGCAGGTGCTGGCTGGCCACTGTACGTAGAATGCAAATAAGATCCGTTGTATCCGGGGGCGTATTCCTGAGAGGGAAGCCCTGCGTGGAGACTAGGTACAGTGTGGCTTCCACAGGTGCTGCTGGAATAGCTGGGTTCTGTCAGGTTGCTGGCCACCCCGGGAGAGCTCCCGATGCTCGCAGAGACATCTGCCGGAGGGAGGGCCGACCCGACCCCAGCTTTGCTGGCTGCGATCACGTCCGGGACGCAGTTCATGGGATACACGGCGTCCGAGTTCAAGGACGGCTGCCAGGGTTCGTTTTCATTTTTCCGACCGTTCACCAGTCCCGACGGTGCGTCCGAGTAGTTGCTGAGTACGGGTCGGTCCACGGGGCCCTCCAAGATGCCGGAGTACTTCTCGGCATACTTTTTGAGCAGGTTGGATGCAGTCAGGGCAGAGATGTCGTCGTTTGCCCAGGCGTACTGATAGGTGCGCTGCAAATGACCTCGGTAGGCTTCGACTTTGTGGGCAGGAGACCGTGTGGTCGAGGTGATGTCAAAGTGCTGCTCTGGCCACTGGGCATGCTCCGGCGTCCACTGCATCTTCAAGCCTGAGGGTGGGGGCGGGGGAAAAGTTAAGTGACTTAGATACTCATCAGAACTTCTTTGTTACCTATTATCATCTACCAATCATGTCAACATTACAAAGTATTCCCCCAGTTTATAACATCTGTCATAAGCTCTATAACATGCACACTTTAACATGGATTGAATTTCAGCCCTGTAAATAAAAAATAAAAAAATTCAAATGAACGCTCTGTAGAAGACCTAAATTTCCCCCCATTTTTAACTCATAGGCAAATGTATTTCTGGTAAGCCTATTAAGTCACTTGCTACACACACACAGAAACACACACACACACATATATATATATGTACACACACATTCCTGCCAAGTGAGAATTCAATCATAGGTTCTTACAATAAAATATGCACCCGTTTTAAATATCGAGCAAGTGACTGTATTAATGTGCAATGTGGTGCTATTCCGCCTCTTCCCATCGCAGTTTCTGTTTCAGGTTTTAGCCAATATAAAAATGAGACACAGCTGACAGATCCCATCTAGGATACCTCTCTTATTTGGTACTGAACACCTAGTTAGCACAGCATAATGCTCCCTGCACAGAACAATATGACACAGACAGAGCAGGTCATTCCATAATCCAACTCTCATCTAAAGTGGCCCACGACAGTTTCAAATCTGTTTCGTGGAGTGCAGCCAAGCAATCTCCCAGGCAGCGCTTCACCGCTCGCATCGCACAAAGCCCACAACTCGGTATGAATTACAACTGGCTCCTTTCCGCCTCTCAGTTCTGTTGTCGAGCCCCGGAAAAAAAAAGATACAGGCATCACTTGTCTGTCCGTCTTCTCGATAGCATTCCCCCTCCTTCTCTTACAATCCTTCTCTCTGCCTTAGAGGCTCCAAGCTACTGAGAGGAGAGAAGATTCTCTGTCTCTAGAGAGAGAGGTGAACAGGGGGATAAGAATAGAGAGAGAAGGAGAGGATCTGGATTCTAACTACATTTCCATGGGAAGCTGGAGCGGTACAACTCTGTAATGGCATGCTATGGGTAATGATAGCATCTGTGAGATTACTAACGGAAGCAAGGTGACCATGTGTTAAAGTATAACACAAGAGTATTTTCCCACTTAAAAGAAAACGCTAAGCAGTTGAAATCAGAATCATTTGAATGTTACACTTTAAAAGAGACCTTAGACTTCGCCTTCTCACACCCAAAGGGATCCATAACGCACCCTGGAGGACTCACATGCACTCAGGGACAGAAGGGCCCTGGAACCCTATTCTAGCTCCCAGTGCTGGCTCATCCCCATCCTCATCTCCGCTTCCTTGGAACACTTGCTAGTCTCGTTCAGCTGTATCAAGCAGGCCTCCTGAATCTCCTCTGTATTACCAAAAGTGAATTTTGCAAACTGTCTTGTGCCCTCTGGCAGAGATTCCTTGATAAGAAGGAGGCCTGGTCTAAATGAAGCTTCTGTGGCATCAGCTGTCTTCTGAATTTCCCAGCCTATTTTGACAGCTCCTACCCGCCTCTGCTTTCTTCCTCAAACTCTTTCGCTCTTCATTGCCTGACTGGCTTCTGACACAGCCAGCTTTGACTTACGGAGCAAAGCTGAACATAGCACAGAGTTTGGTAACAGAATGGCATGTTGATTCCCTTCTGACTCCCTCTTCCTTGTTTGCAAAACCATTGCACCAGACACTGGAAGTTAATTAGCGGGATGATGCTGTGCTAATTGTGTTAATTTACAAGGTTTTAGTCAAAGAGAATCATGCCAGGGCTGGCACTGCTGTCATGCTTCCAACTTAATGATTAAAAAATACTGAAAACAAGGTAGGAAGGATTGCAGTAATTACACAATAAATGAATAAAGCAACAGGATTCATTTGCAAATATATTTTACCACAGTTGTACTCATTTGCATTTGGATTTTTTAAAAGGATCCATGTAGATATTCATTTGCAAATCACCATCTCAGTTAAATTAAGTCTGAAAGCTGTACAGCATAACTTAATCAAGCTTTACCATTTTTTTTAAGTAAAAATACTGAAGACCTTGTACATTCAACAGATTCCTTCTTCACTTTTCCTCTTTTCAAAGTCTTTTAGAAACAATCTCATCAAATTGCAAAATAATAAAGTAAAATAATAAATAAATACATTGTAAATCTGGATGAAATGCAACTTATGTCATTTAACTCTGAGGAACTCGGTGTGAATTCTAGGAAGAACTAAAGTGATATTCTTAATTGTTTCTGTTTTCTCAATCGTTATGTTTTTAAGGGAGAGGAAAACAGACCACAAAATGGGTGAATTGATCGAAACCATACTTAAAGAGGAAAATATGCAATTTTAATGAAGCAGCATTTCAGGAATCATACTTTCATTAAATTCAACTGGAAATTATTAAGAGCAAATCACCAGGAACCAATCGCAAGTAATCAGTATCTAAATTCTTGTAGTGTCATGGGATTTACTTCAAGCCTTATAAGAAGGAGAGAAAATTAATGTGACTGTAATGGAGAGCTGTCTAAAAGACCTACAAATTCATTAGTCCTGTAAATTATTTCCAGGGAATTTCTATTAGGATTTTGTTGTTGTTGTTCAGACTATCAAAATACAGAGTTGAGAACATAAGAATACACATACACTATGAGTAAGACTTTGATTAGACTGATACAGAAAAAAAACATTTAAATAAATGTCTTGAAACAAGGTTTCAGAAAATAATTTAGGAGTCCAGGCAACGGGGATTTACTATAAGTGCACCACCACACCACACCGCATCACACAACACAACATGCATGTTAAGCGGCCTGGTTTCCTTTCAGTGAGCTGAGGTAAGCCATTGTTATCATGCCTTAACACACATACATAACAAAAATTATTTTTAAATTGCTCACTATAAAAATTTCAGCTTTAGATTTAGAATAATTATTAAAAACAAAACAAAGCAAAAACGGTGGGCAACCTTCCACCTGTATCGGCTTAAGTGTTTTTTCTTGTAAATTAGCCATTTATAAAAACTATGCATAAAATAATCTAGGTAAGTTACAATCACTATAAGAGACAGGAATATAAAGTTTAAATCAAGTAGGCTGGCTATTTTCGCTGGGCCTTTTTGCAAAGGCTCCAGCAAAACGAATTCAATTTCATAAGATTTCTGTTTCATCAGAAATTAAGCAAAAATCCTATCAAAACTATTTGTTTGGAACAATTATGGGGAACATGCTAATTTCGATGCTCATGCTAATTTTGGATGTGATTATCAAGACTGCTTTTCGATGCTCATGCTAATTTTGGATGTGATTACCAAGATTATTGAAAGTTTATTGATTCATACTAAATAACAATAACCTCAGCAGGGCTGCAAAGGGCAAGATGGAGCTTTGATTAAATAAACTTAAAGGAACGGAATTATTCACATCCCTGAAACACAAGGACGTAGCTAGTGCTTTAAAGCCCTCAGTATTGTTTAAATACGTAAGTTAATAGTTTACCATCCTCTGGTTCTTACTGTCAGTGGGTGCTAAGGAAGCTAGTGCTCAGGGGACTATCCTGGCCGTGGGAGCACAAAGAGCCTTCTCATCAGCATCTTGAATTTTAATACCAATCGAAAGTAGAACCAAACTTATTTTTGTTGTTGTTATTATTGCTCCGTTTATTGGTGGTGATATTTCTGACGTGAAATGGATGAAAAACATACAGTTAAATGTTCTTTGAACAAAAAAGCACGCTCCCTTTGAGTGTATTGCTGCTATCTGTGAGTGAGAAGCAGCAGATGCCTGTCACTTACTTGGCACCCAAATAATAAGATGGGTTTTAAAAACAGCTTTTATTCGGTTTCTTTTTGAAACACAAAGAGAGAAACCTCAGAAACAATACCATCTTAAACATTATTAGAGACGTGATTCAAAAAAAAAAAAAAGTAACTCCCACTGCTGTTTAGTAATAGCTTACATAAGTACAATAAAAACTCAGAAAACAGTGAAAATTAAGAAAAACAGTTCTTAAAGATAATTGAAGGATCGCTCCAAAATACCAATTTTTATGTTTGATAGTATCAGACAATTATTAATACAGCTGGCAAATTTTACAATGCAATGTGTTTGTTTAAAAAAATGTGTAATTTAATAGAAAATTGCTTTTAAGGCACTTTACCATGTTACACAAGAACGCCAGAGTCTACAGTAAAAAAGCCAGAGCGTTTGTTATTTTATTGTTATAGGATTGATTTATGTGTGTACAAATGAACAAGTCTGTATTTCCCATAAAACTGGGCAGTTGGCATAGCATTTTTCCATTGTTATCCTTATGACCGTTTCATAACTTATCTTTAATTACTGAACAGTCGCTGCCTGTCGCTTTACTTCCTCCCTTTTCACAATTTTGAAACGAAACAACTGGAAACAATTGTGGCATCCTTCACAGTGCTGTCTCAGCTTCCAAATTACCAAGAAACTCTTGCATAGGAAAATGAAGGGTATAAACACAACTTTCTGAATGGGAGGAAACTGAAATAAAAGATTGAGCCTTCTAGAATCTATTTTTAGCACACATTCCTGGAAATATTAATCTAAGGCGCTCACCACTCCACCCCCACCCGTAACACACACACACACACACACACACACACACACACACACACACACACACGCTATTCAGCAGTTCATCCGTCTAAAAAAGCTGGTCTCCTCCACCAGATTCCCACGGGGTAATTCTCGCTACTAGGGACTCTGCCTTCATTTGTCGGTGTCCTCAGACCTCCTAAGGGCAGGGACCCCAGGCAAACACCTGCAGGCACAGCGGGCAGGACGGCTGCAGGACGGCTGCACAGCCCTCTCCCAGGCCTGCCACATCACTGCACTCATTACACTCCTTTGGGTTCCTGTACCTCTCAGGCCTTCATTATTATTATTTTTTATAATATATTTAAAAATATATGTAGTACCATATTTACCACTATTTCTCTCTAGAAAACAATTACTACAAGGGTGACTATAACAAGTAATTAGAGTCTCCAGCCTCATC